CAAAGGTTGATAGATGATCTCTCCGCCCCTCATTCGGCAGCAATTCCTAGTTTGAATTCCCTGATTCCGTCCGAGTAATTTTGCTACAATATTCCACGATTGATAATGCCATTTCAGCCATCCTTAAAGCTGGAGTGGGCGCTTGGTTTAGTAAAACTAACATTGTCCATGCTTTTAAGCTTTTGCCGATACACCCTACGTTCTGGCACCTGCACAGTGTTAAATGGAAGGGCCTGTAATATTTTTTTCTCCCGGCTTACTTTCGGTTCCAAAAGTAGCCCGAAACTGTTTGACATCTTTGCGGAGACCATGTGCTGGTTGCTCCTTAATATTGATAGGTGTCCCGCAGTCATCCACTACCTGGACGACTTACTTATGATTGAGAACACGTTCCCCCCACGTAGTCTGAAGAAGGCATACTGTACTTTTCGAGTTGTTGGGTGTACCGGTGTCCGCGGACAAAACAGAAGGTCCAGACCACCTTCATTACTTTACTGGGTATTCAGCTTGATACTGTTTCCATGCAGGCCAGACTGCCCAAGGAGAAAATTTTTACATACGCTCATGCATTGATGAATATATTCGCCCCAGGTCTTACTGCCGGAGGGAGTTACAATTTTTTCTGGGGTCATTATATTTTGCTATGAGGATTATCCCACAGGGTCAGGCATTTATATCTCTGTTGCTTTCCATGTTTCCTGCTCTCCCTCACGATGATAGCCAGATCACGCTCGATGACCATGCCACAGCGGATCTGCTCACGTGTTAGAGGTTCTTGCTCCCGAAATTTCAGGAGGCATCACCCACGATATGGTCGGATGCCACTTGGTAGAATAAAAGATGAAGCAAAACAATAAAAATGTTGTCTCTGTGTTGTGAGCGCGCATGTCGGGCCTGAGGTCTGTCGATAGTAGTCTGAGGGGAAGGAGGCAGATGTGCTCAAGTAGAGTGCACCTGTCACTTGCATCATCTCAGTACAGCTAACGGAAGGAGGAAGGAAACCTCCCTGACTGTCTGACTGACAGGGGAATGTCCCATAATTTAATTATACAAGTGCTGATTTCTCATAGAAATCCACACTTTTATGAACAAGGATAAAATAAGCACACCACTCACCCATAGAGCACTAATTACTGTGGGAGGGTACCAAAGCTGTAGTGGTTATGGCGCTTGGAGTGTTTATTTAGAGTGTTTTATATACGGACTCTTCTAAACAAAATTAGGGAACATAGTTATTGTATTAAGCATAAATCTGCATTATATTTGCATAGACTGCTGCAGAAAGATTATTAAAACTTTAAAGGGACACTATAGTCACCCAGACCACTTCAGCTCAATGAAGTGGTCTGGGTGCCAGGTCCCTCAGGTTTTAACCCTTCAGATGTAAACATAGCAGTTTCAGAGAAACTTCTATGTTTACATAGCAGGGTTAATCCAACCTCTAGTGGCGGTCTTCCTGACAGCAGCTAGAAGCACATCTGTGACGCTGGATGAGAAATGCTTTCCTATGGACTGTTTGAATGCGCACCCTTACGGCAATATAGTATCAGGAAACCGCTTTGTTTTCTTGACCCTATAGTGATCCTTTAACTGAGCTATAAGCTAAGGTGTTAGGATACTAAATTGCCCATTGGAAAACTTTTACAATTGTTTTAGACAAACCCTGATATATAAGGCTGACAACCACAGGAATTACTCTTAGTTTTGGAGACTTACAGAGTTATTCACTAAAGTGTGAACTGTCAGAAATGTAAATTGAATACCAAGTAAATTTCAAACGGCATGTCAAACTAGCCAAATGGAAACATAGCCAATTTAGATCATTTTTCAAAGTTGGCCTAAAACTTTAAATTCTCTTTGAATTCCCATCAATTAAAACCTAAGTAAATATTTGTGTGTTTACAAATGTAACAATAAGTTTTAGGTGAATATTTTATCGTTTCCTTATAGCAAACGATCCATGTATACTATTATATAGCTCCATTAATAAACATATACATATAATTGTCACTGGTAACTAAAATTTACTGACATGGATGATTTAAACAAATTAACCCCTTAAGGACCAAACTTCTGGAATAAAAGGGAATCATGACATGTCACACCTGTCATGTGTCCTTAAGGGGTTAAAGAAGCCACTTCCTAGTTATGCTACATAATCATTTCTCGGTTATAGATCAGGAAAAACATCCCATGTATGTCAAATGCAAAGGAGCAAAAATTGGCCTTTCAGCCTATTACATTATAGCTCATATTGAATTTATGTTTTCAGGCAATTCTAAGACATACATTCTGTATATCAGTGTCACATTGATTCTAATACTGAGCACCTTTGTATTGTATATACATTTTCCATAACGGTCATGATGTAATATAAGATAGGGTCAAATAACAGAGAGCACCTTCTAATCCCCACCAGCTGTTACATGACATTCCATGAGCACTCTCCTCTGTCACAGACTACCATACAATGCCAAGAGAAGCCTTTTCTTAGGAGTACTTTTTATGTGGTTCACAATTGCTTGATAAGCTGCCAAAGTACACCAAGTGTGGATCTATTTATTGCTTTGCACACACCCTTCCTACTACTAAAAGAGGTTTTATTCACTAACCCTGTAATTGCGGAGAACTGACCTTTTCTCATTTAGGTAAATACACCACGGAAACTTGCCTTGTCAGTTCTCCACAATTCGGAATTTAATGAATAAACACAGAAAGGTTCCATTGTCAATGACAGTAATCACTAATGTTTATAGCTGCTGGGGATGACATGTCCTATGGTGATATGTGCATAATGGCAGTCTCCACACCAGGAGAGGACTCTTTCCATTAACAGGGTCTCCTGTCAGTGTTAAGTTGGTTACAGCCCATTCAGCCTGACGCAGGGTGGGTGTCATGGTTGGTTAGAGCCCATTCAGCCTGGCACCGTGTCATGGCTGGTTGCAGCCCATTCAGCCTGGCACAGGGTGGGTGTCATGGCAGCTGCTAGCTGGGTGTATGTGGCAGTAGGTGTCACTGGAGTATACTGTAATACTGTAACAGGGCAGCGGCTCTCACCAGTCGCTAGTTGAAGACAGGAAAGCTTGTTGCACTCAGGGAAACTACATAGGAAGCCATCTTCACAGGAGGAACACTGGGCGAATACACGGACAGCTCGGCAGCCGGCACACTCAGCATTGCCCTGCCCGCTGCTCCGTGTTTGGCTGTAAGCCGCCCTGTGATTGGATAAGAACACCCCTAATTAGTAAGCGGAGAGAAGTCACAGCCCATCCTATTGGCTGAGGGTATATAAGGACAACTTTTTCACTGGCTAGTATCGCGGCCACATTTCCAGCTGATGATGTCACAGCGGTGTTGTCACAGGTGGTGAGCGAGGTGGCAGCTTACGCTCTCTACGTATGACAAGAGTTCTAAACACACGATGCGCAGCTCTGCAACCATTATGTCTCCATGACTACAGCCATTTTCCTGGAGACACGGTCCTTTTTGTGGTTTCCAAGCGCATAGTCCCAGCATTGGTGATCTTCCTGTAACGCTGCACACAGCTTTTATTAAAGAGCACCTGGTGCACGTAGCCTTTGCATGGTTAATGCATTGTAGAGGTAATGCAATGCAAATTTTAAGGACCAAGCTTCACATGTTTGCTTTGGACTTAAAGGGAAATGGTAATGCTTTACCTGGCTGTCTGTCCCCCTTACAGGATCTAATTAAAGAGTTGGTTACACTTATGTAACATCCACCTCAGATCTGCTGTGCTCCTCCTTTAGTCTATTTTGAGTTGCCTTACATGGGGAGCTATTCTCAAGAAGATCAAACCTTCTCCATGAGGCCAGCAGACTCTATAACTATACTAGTAGATAAAGGAACAGGTAGTGCCAAAAAATAGCAATACATGTATAAAACAAGATAAGAAGTAAGAAAATTAGTCTTTCCTCACATGTTTATGCATTCCTGTATTTTGCTTTTATTTATTATATTTGATGAGTTATCTCAACTAGAGCACTATCTAGCACAAGATATAAAAATAAGCAGTCACAATGTTTACAGAACAGGCTCATATAGTTCAGCATGTTATAATTTTCCTCTTTACCCTTCCAGTCTAGCTAGCCTATCACTTCACTTATTCGCATACTTACCTAAAGCTAGAAGTGTATTCATGATTAGCCAGACTCCGCTCAGCCTACATCTTGGCTTTTCCCTAGCTATGCCTGAACTAGCCTGTTTTATCCTGATGCCACTTCAATACTAACCTGCTTGCTATTCCTTGAATGCTACACATGCTTAGGCTTATATACTCGTTTAACCCCTTAAAACCAAACTTCTGGAATAAAAGGGAATCATGACATGTCACACATGTCATGTGTCCTTAAGGGGCTAAAGGGACACTATAGTCATCAAAACAACTTAAGCTTAATGAAGTAGTTTTGGTGTATAGATCAGGCCCCTGAAGTCTCACTGCTCAATTCTCCACCATTTAGGAGTTAAATCACTTTTGTTTCTGTTTCTGCAGGCGTAGCCACACCTCCACTGACTGTGACTCACATAGCCTGCATGAAAATAAATGGTTTCACATTCAATCAGATGTAACTTACTTTAAAAGTTTTTATTTCCTGCTCTGTAAATTAAACTTGAATTACATACAAGAGGCTCCTGCAGGGTCTAGAAAGATATTAACAGAGCAGGAGATAAGAAATTCAAAATTTTACAGTATTTTCAATACAGGAAGTGTAAACATTAGATGACTGTTTGCAGAAAATGTTGGAAGGCTGTATAAGTCACATGCGGGGGGTGTGACTAGAGCTGCTTAAACAAAGTTATTTAAAGGACCACTATAGTGCCAGGAAAACATACTCGTTTTCCTGGCACTATAGTGCCCTGAGGGTGCCCCTGAAAGGGTTAATGTTGTAATGGACTCTAATCCCCTCGGTTCTCGATCCCTCGGTCACCATAATCAATGTTGATGGAGAATCATTTGTAAGCAATAACACACGGACAACAGCTTTACAAGACTCTCAAATGAGTGTATTCCAGAGCTGGCTTTTATACATAGTTTGCTTACATTAGCCATGGTATATGCAAATACAGTACAGACTATAAGATTTATTACTTCCTTATATTACGTTATTCTGACAATGGAAAGATAAGCTTTTGCATACGTCTGGAAAAGAATATCCTTAAAATCGGAATGGGCAAGACATCCTGAAATTTAGCATTGTCTTACATCCTATAGAAGAAATACCTTAGTCTGTCACAGTCAGCATATTGACTTTAAGTATTCAATATCCCTTCAGTCAGCAATAATCATGTTATAAACCTTATAAAAGCATAAAATACATATAAACAAGTTAACTATTTAATATTCTTACATTCCCCTCTTTGAGCAATAAAACAATTGCTCATCTTATCGATAAAATCTTACCAGGACAGAGAAACTTCCACATGGTATTTTCAGGGGTGCTAGTCACTCCCTGCGGGACTTTCATTAATTTCTTCACCTCGATTCCCATGTGGTAATTCCTAAGGCCCAGTTTAAAGATGGGTTGATACTCTACAGTGGCAGAGAGGAGAATTTCTAATTGTTTCTGTTCTGCATTATGGATTCATTTCTGTACTCACTTCCTCAATGTACAAGTAAGGTGACAGTTATATAAAATCATACACAATAAAATCAGGACTATAATAACAAAATGATAGAAGAATGATTTCATTATCTGAGATCCAGTAGGGGACCAACCAGTGAAGCATCGTACCAATGATGGGCTAAATCATTCTGAATTTGTGAACTCACCTTAAGGAGTTCTCCTTTTAGGATATGTGTGGCTACCTGTGTATGTTATCTTTGGGAAAAATATAGTCCCCTGTGTATGTGGGTGCCCACCAGGTTAAATTCTTGGCAAAAAGATCATAAACTGGTACTGGTAATGTGTTAAATTGACAAGCTAATTTAACATCCTTTGATAATGTATGATATAATGTTAAATAGCATGAGCATGAAAAATGTGAAACATTACCAGTTAACCATCCATTGCATTTACTGGATTGGGGTTTTAGAAGTAACCAATCATTATCTGTGAGGTTACACATTCCTCTAATCTTCTCTAGTTTAGGAATCATTAGTGTGTTTTCTAATGCCAATCCTTGTTGTTGTATCCATAAATACCTGATGGCACAAATACTCCAGTTACCTAGACCTGTAGTGAATTTCATAGTTGCAACAGTTAAATTATCTAAATAATTATACATTGATTTATCTAAATCCAATCCTGTAACCTGTGATTTAACAACAATTGGAGCCCAATTTGCAGTAGCATGAAAACCAGTCCCTATATGCATGCTGGCTGTGTTTAACTTATTCTTGAGGGTCTCCATATCTATAACTATTTAGTATACCCATAGTGGTTCCAGCACCATCTAACAGTGTGTCATACCATTCCCTTTTCTGCCTTTGTTTGCTGTATTACATAATGTTACAACAAGAGTAGTGACTTTTAATGACACATGTACAGCTTGTAAGAAGGCAGTTGTATTAACACATGTGGACGGAATAGGTGTGTGTGTGTCGTGTTTGACTTTTGGTTCTATGATAGTGGATGAAGGACAGTAATAAGGTGTAAAAATATAAGGTAGTGTATAGTTCTCAATTGTAGTGTTGTTCATAATGACTAACATTTGTCCCCTTCTCCAATTAATGATACCAGTTATATAATCATTATTAAAAGTAATAAGACCTGTCTGTTTACATTGATATGCAACCTTAACTGTGCACATTTCTGCGTTATAAGATCTAACAATTTTCTGTGAACCTTTAAACAAACATAATGCATCGGTTTCATTAGCTGTAGACACATTTCATATGGGTAACTGGTACTTATAAGGGTTACTATTTGTCCAATTCATCCAAATGCGTTCAGTGAATGAATGATTGCATATTGCATGCTGATAGAAAGGTGGTGGAAAAAGGTTCTTGAGGGGGCGTGTGTGACGAATGCTAGATGAGGGGCTAAGGCCTAATTGGGCTGGGGGTATTGAAGAATTGTTCATCATGTCAGAGTCTTTTTCCAGAACTTGCCATTGACTTGTACTCATAATGGCATTCAAGGAACAATATCAGAGGGAGTATAACAACTCCAGAAAGCATAGCGCACAACATAATCTTGGTCTCAGGTACGTATGATCCTCTCAATCTACGATATGGTGTAAAAGCCATGATGCTTCGCTGAGGAGAAATTCTTCTGTTTCCGAGCGAGGAGTGGTGTTGTCTTCCTTGGTTCCCCTCTTTGGACACAGCTTCACTCGGGATGCGTGAATCCAGATGTCATGGGAATCTGTGGACAGCGGTTCTGGTTACAGCAATCACAGTAGCAGGTGGTCCAAAAGGGTATCCTCCTTTCTTGGTCCTGTTCAGCTGACGGATATACACCTTGTCACCGGGCTGGTATGAATGAGTAGGTTCCTGTGAAGGTAAGGGAAAACTGCGAAGAAACATTGTCATACATACCATTCGGTTTTATCAACAACTCCTGTACATATTGTTCTTGTATTAGCTGTAAATCCACAGACATTATAACAAGCGGTTCCCTGGCCCAGGGTGTGGGAAAAGGTCATCCCATCAAAATCTCAAATGGAGATAATTTAGTCACCTTGTGAGGAATCACTCTTATCTCAGCTAAAATAGCTGGTAGATATCTAGTCCAATTTACCCATGTTCCTGGGTAAATTCTGGGCTTTTCCTTAATAGTCCTATTCATCCTTTCAACTACCCCTGTATTCTGTGGATGATAGGGTATATGAAACTGCCAGGTAACTTGCAAGAATTTAGCAAGTTCCTGGGCAACCTTACTGGCAAAAACCGGGCCATTATCAGAGCCAATCTGCAGAGGGCAGCCATACCTGGGAATAATTTCAGTAGCAAGAATCTTCACTACAGTCCTAGCATCTTCCCTGGATGTCACAAAGGCTTCGGGCCATCTACTAAACTGATCAACTATGACCAGTAAGTATTGCTGTTTCTTACCAATTTTGGGTACATGAGTAAAATCAATCTGTAAGTGTGTAAAAGGAGCAGCTGGAGGGGGCAAATGTTCATGCTGTGATTTGTGTGGAATATTTGGATGTGTTCTCATACATGGTTCACATGATCTTACAAAAGACTGTACATGCTGCCTAAGATTCCTAATATAAAATGAATTCATGAAGAATTGAATGGTGCTTGCTATGTGCCTGACTGATGAAAATAAATCAGCTTGCTTCAAGTATGCCTATTCTTCAAGTATGCCTATTCTCCCCTCTTTAGAGAACAGATCATTTTGATCTTTCTCTAAACCTTGTTTAATCCAAAAGACAGATTCTGGGTATTTAAAAAAAAAAAAAAAAAAATCTCATAACCACTGAAGCGCTGGGCTGTCATGTGTTGTGTGGTGAGATTTGTCATCAGCTGAGTGACCTGGTGACTGGCATGAAGTATTGTAGGATGCCCTAGTGTGATAGTAGTAGCAGTTTCAACAGCCATTGCACATGCTATCAATGCTCTGAGACACGCCGGCATACCCTGTACCGGAGCTCGAACTACTTTGGAAAAGAATGCTATGGGACGCATACCGCCTCCTTGCTCTTGTGCACAGACCGCGGCCATGGTTTTACAATTGTCCCAAGCATACAAATGAAATGGTTTACAATACACAGGTAGTCCTAAAGCCTGGGCTTGCACAATAACAACTGTAAGGGCAATATATGCAGATAGCATGTCTGGTGACCAGCAGACATTTTCAGGGCTGTCAGAACGTACAGCCTCCCTTAGGATTGAGTCATAATGGGAGCATTCAGGGATCCATTGGCGGCAGTAATTAATCATGCCGAGGAAGGTGAGCAACTCCTTCCGAGTAGTGGGTGTTGGAATCCTCTGAATGACCTCAATACATTTTGGACTCAATTGTCTGGTGCCTAAAGCCAGAACAAAACCTAAGTATTCAACCTTTGATTTACACAATTGCATTTTGTGTTTAACAACCTTGTGACCCACAGTTGCTGACAGTATCCACAGTGCTTGCCTCATAGCTAGGGCTACATAACAACAAATCATCAACATTTTGCAAAAAGGACGGAACCATGACCGGTGGTCCATGTTTTTTAGAGTATGTTGGAGTACCAACGAATAAACAGCTGGGGAATCCACATAGCCTTGGGTAAGCGTGTCCAGGTAAACTGACAGCCTTCAAAAAGTAAAAACCATAAGTAGCTGTGTCTCTTGATCAATAGGTATAGAAAAAATGCATTACTTAAATCAAATGACAGTGAAGCAAGTGGCATCATGTGGAATGGCTGTAATGAGGGATGTCACATCAGGGACAATGGGTGAAATGGGCACAATTAAACTATTCAGGGCTCTAAAGTCCTGAACTAAGCGATATGCTGGCCAGTGGTGTTGGGAGTGGGTCTGGTGTTGTTCTTGCCTACAGGGCATATTTTGAGAATTGTGGGGTTGGTGGGGTGTGTGGGGTTTGATGGGGTTTCCTGGGGTGGGGACACTCATTCCTCCAGTGGCCATATTGTCCACAGTTGAAACAAGTGTTCCTGTCTATTCCTCCTTGGTTACCCCTGCCCCTATAACCCTGATTTCCCTGTCTCCATCCCCTTGCCCCTCTTTGACCACCCCTTCCACGGGCTTTATGTGCTCCATCCCATCCTTGCTCTCATCCTGTGTAGCTGGACATAATATGTTGCAATCCCTGAGCATAATAAGCAACCTTACTTTCCTAAATCTTTTCTTAATTCAAAACAACCTGCATTTTCCTTTTCTATAACCTTGGTAAGAAAATCTGAGCTATCCAAATTGTCCCAGTCTGAAATCAATTGTTTCACAAGCAAAGAATACTGTGGCAACATATTACCAAGGCATGACTGTATTTTAAAGATATCTATATCATCTCCAGACATCAAACCTGCCTCATCCTTCCAACACTTGTAAAATTTCTTTACAAAAATCATATTACCAATCTCTTCCTTTGCATCTTGCTTATATGCCAAAGCAGTGAATATAGACTGCTTATTCTTCCATAATCCCAACATTTCAGCTTCCACCTTGTTCCAAATTTTAGCACATCTTACTGAAGTACTAAGCTCATAATCACCAATTCATTTCAAACCATATAACTCATACTCAGCATCCCATGTAATATTAGTCATCTCATAAAACAATATCTTTGTAGAAACACATAATGGGTACCCAGCAGATATGCCAATACAGAAATCACATTTATGGGCACACAACTACACACTCTGTCTCCCTCCTAGGAAACACGGATACACACAATATAAAAGCAATCTTAAACTAACACCTCCAAATCTCCAACTATTCTTGGCCAAAACGCTAGTATTCAACAACTAATAAAACAGTTATTTGCTAGGTTATTTGGCTGTCATTCTTATCAGTATCACTAGACTGTGACAAACTGATTCACATATAATTTAAAACAATACAGCAACATATAAATTAAACCACTTTCAAGTTTAACTGCACACTTATCACACATTATCACAGTCACCATTTACACAGAATAAACAGTTAACAGCTGTATTCAGGACATTATTGGAAGGTATACCAATTTTAGTTTAGATTTATTTTAGGGCTTCTTATGTGTACATTTTCTTAATTAACTTCATTACTTTAATCTACTATAGTATTGTATTTAAAGAAAGGATCCATTTATATAGCGCGCTCATAACTCAAATATTTGTATAAAACTTCCATTAACTAATCTGAGATGATGCTGCATCAACTTAAATCTTACAGAAATTTTTTGCAAACATCTGGACCAGATTAAACAGACATGGTTTCACCTGAATCTTTCAGAACTCTCAGAGACTTAAAAAATTTATACTATACCATGTTTTAAAGGCATGGCAAACCTTTAGACCGGTCAGTCTCCAAGAGCCCTTAGTAACACAGGTAAAAACCTTTGTCCATGATTTCTGATTCAGGCTATATACCACAATTTAAAAGAACACATAATGTGAGACATAGAAGACACAAGCAGTAGTTATTACACTGGATCATTTAAAAGGAACCTGTTGCAATAAAAAGGTTAGTTTACAGCGCAAAATAAAGCATGTGTTGGACCGCTGAAAATGTAAATGTTGCTCTCTTATTTTCAAACAAAAATTATATTTACAGTATGGATCCTTTGCAACAAACACACAGGGCAGGGAAGATGTGCTGATTGGTGTTTCTATTACAATTAATCCCATATGGGGAATTAACTTTCAAATACTAATGATGTGACTTTTTGTCTCAGTTATAAAATATACTGAGCTCATCATGCAAACAATGCAACACATTTACACTATCCCACTCTCATAATAAGTGTAGTGGGCTTATAGTATTTTTAAAGCAACAATCATACCAGGCACATAGATCCCATGTGAAATAACTTACAATAAAACAGAGTAATAAACTTATACTTCTATGCGACAGAAAGAATAAAGTAAAAAGATTTAAGTAGGTCTATCAGGTACAACCTATGAGTCATTTCTTTTCTAATATACAGTACTGCTATCTTGCAGAAAGATAAGTCCTGCGCTCACTCCCATCACCACTGGACAGCAGCAAGGACTACAGTACACATCAGCCCCAATATATGGTAAAAACCAAAGAAAAACAAGTTACCTGCGTTCTCTCCTTAATCCCTATGTATTTTTAAAACCTCCATTTGTTTAAAAGTACTGCTATCTTATATATACACATATACATATACACACACATATATACATACATATACACATATATACATACACACACATATACATGTACATATATTGGTCACTCAGGACATGAACTCACATTTCCCATACTGCTGATTCAGAGTGGGGACACTACTAACTTACCAAAGTGTGTCCCCAATATAGACAATCAATCACCCACAAAAAACACTTAAGACAAACAAAGGTGACCGGGAGAAAGAGAAGTTTGGGTTATACTTAAAGATCTACAAACCATGCTGCTCAGAACACCTATAGACTTAATAAACCGGAGACCTCTTATGGTCTCAAAAACCTGTATCTACCTGAGATACCCTGTATCTATCTTAGATACTAACCTGGGTTACCAAAACCCTATAATAAACCGGAGACCTCTTATGGTCTCAAAAACCTGTATCTATCTTAGATACTAACCTGGGTTACCAAGAACCCCTATATATATTTAGACCAAATGTCTAATAAACCGGAGACCTCTCATGGTCTCAATATAACTAGAGTCCTTACACCTTTCCTATCTACTGGATACAGACTTACTGAACCAAACTGGGGTCATAGACAATCAGCGTCAAATAAGACACAAAAAGGCTACTCACCGCAATGGTTTTGCTGATCCAACTTCTATCTATCCCACTTCTAGACACCAAGCTGAAAGGGTTAATGTTGTAATGGACTCTAATCCCCTCGGTTCTCGATCCCTCGGTCACCATAATCAATGTTGATGGAGAATCATTTGTAAGCAATAACACACGGACAACAGCTTTACAAGACTCTCAAATGAGTGTATTCCAGAGCTGGCTTTTATACATAGTTTGCTTACATTAGCCATGGTATATGCAATACAGTACAGACTATAAGATTTATTACTTCCTTATATTACGTTATTCTGACAATGGAAAGATAGCTTTTGCATACGTCTGGAAAAAGAATATCCTTAAAATCCCGGAATGGGCAAGACATCCGAAATTTAGCATTGTCTCTTACATCCTATAGAAGAAATACCTTAGTCTGTCCAGTCAGTCAACATATTGACTTTAAGTATTCAATATCCCTTCAGTCAGCAATAATATTTATAAACCTTATAAAAGCATAAAATACATATAAACAAGTTAACTATTTAATATTCTTACAGCCACCCTCAGGGACCCCCTCCTGCCCGGCTCTGGAAAGGGAAAAGGGGTTAAAACTTACCTTTTTCCAGCGCTGGGCGGAGAGCTCTCCTCCTCCGATCCTCCTTCTTCTCCTCCCCGTCGGCTGAATGCGCACGCGCGGCAAGAGCTGCGCGCGCATTCAGCCGGTCACTAGGAAAGCATTCAGAATGCTTTCCTAACGCTGGCGTGCTCACTGTGAAAATCACGGTGAGAAGCACGCAAGCGCCTCAGTGGCTGTCGGCAGACAGCCACTAGAGGATTAGGGGAAAGGCTTAACCCATTCATAAACATAGCAGTTTCTCTGAAACTGCTATGTTTATGAAAAAATGGGTTAACCCTAGCTGGACCTGGCACCCAGACCACTTCATTAAGCTGAAGTGGTCTGGGTGCCTAGAGTGGTCCTTTAACTCCCAAATGGCAGAGAATTGAGCAGTTAGACTGCAGCAGCATGATCTACACACCAAAACTGCTTCATTAAGCTAAAGTTGTTTTTGTGACTATAGTGTCCCTTTAATATAATTTATTTCCTGTCATAATATATTAGCTTAGCTCTACACTCATGACACACAAGCCTAGCATAAAGTATAAGGCAAGCTCCCAGTTCGCAATTTTACTTTAAAATATCATTTCATTTCTTTCCCACATGGGATTTATCTAAAGTTTTCATAGCTCTTTGCAATCCACTGTTTGAACCATTAGAAGACATCTCTTTGAAACTCCTGTCTTACTTTTTTGGTAGCAATTACATCTGCTAAAAGAGTTGGTGAAATTCAGGCACTTTCTGCTCCTAAAAAAAAATTACAATATTTTTTCTTGACAAGGTTATTTTACACCAAAAGCCTTCCTTTTTGCCAAAGGTGATTACATCTAAAGCTAATAATAATCCAGTTGTCCTGCCTCATTTTGTGGTACCGCATCTTCTCCTCAAGAGAAAAAATGGCACATGTGAAGAGACCTCTACAAGTTTACATTGACCGTTCTTCCAAGCTAAGAAAAATGGATCATCTTTTTATCTATTTTTTTAAGGAAATTCCAAAATGAAAAGGCATTCAAAAGTACTATTTCAAGATGGCTTGTGGATACAAAAAAGCTGGCTTATTCTACTAGCAGTTTGCCATTACTTATGTCCATAAGAGCCCATACTACAAGAGCCATGTACACAACTTGGGCTAAGAGATCACAGGCTTCACCACAAGACTGTCACATCATGCCCTGTTCTGCGGAGATGTTTCTGGTATCCAGTACTCTTTTTACAATTCTTGTTTAGTTTTTCTTGTTTTTTTGGTTTTCTATTCTATGTCTGGTTTTCTTTATGCTGGGTTTTTCTGGGTTCATTCCATTATTCCGTCCCTGGAATTCCCAGTCTCCTGGATTCATTTATATGTTTGTTTTATGTTGCCACACCTGTTTGTTTTCCATTTTCCTTTTGTTTCAGTCTGGGCCTGCAGCAGTGTTTCAAGCCTTCTGCCCTTTCTTGAAGGTAAGTGCTATATATGTGTTTCTTATGGTTCTTTTAGCGAGCATTAGGCAGTGTAGGACCTGCCGAATATAGGGTACATTGGTGTTGTGGCAGGCTTATGCAATGTATGATCATATAATGTAACTAAATCCCCATACTTTTCATATATAGTACTTAGTTATGTCCAGGGGCGGACTGACCACTCGGGCATATCGGTCATGGACCGAGGGCCCGAGGCAGTCAGGGGCCCGGCAGCACAGCCATGCTCCAGCTGGAGAGATCAGAGATCTCTCCAACTGGAACGGCAAAAAATAATAAAATAAAACTATTTAATTAATAGGTTGTGGGGCCCCACAACCTACCACTCTGTAAATCACCCCCCCACCCTCACATGAGACCTGGCAGCTTCACCAGCTCTCTGCCAGGTCTCCTTCTCCCTGTCCCGCGGTGCTCTGTGTGATGGGAGAGGCAGGGCTAGGAAGTGACCTCACTTCCTGTTTACTCCTCTCTCACACAGAGCCGATCATCCAGCAGGGGAAGGAGCGGCAGCCAGGGACAGAAGAAGAAGCAGAGAGACAGGTAGGCACTAGTACCCCCCCCCCGACTGTGTCACAAGTCAATCCCCCCACTGTGTCACAAGTCAATCCCCCCACTGTGTCACTAGTCACTCCCCCCCACTGTCTACTTCAAGTCACTCCCCGACTGTGTCACTAGTCACTCCCCCCCACTGTGTCACTAGTCACTCCCCCCACTGTGTCACTAGTCACTCCCCCCCACTGTGTCACTAGTCACTCCCCCCACTGTGTCACTAGTCACTCCCCCCACTGTGTCACTAGTCACCCCCCTCACTGTGTCACTAGTCACCCCCTCCCTCACTCTGCCACTAGTCACCCCTTCCCTCACTCTGCCACTAGTCACCCCCTCACTCTGTCACTAGTCACCCCCTCACTCTAGTGACAATGAGGGAGGGGGTGACTAGTGACAGAGTGAGGGAGGTGGTGACTAGTGACAGTCACCACCTCCCTCACTCTGTCACTAGTCACCAGTCATCCCCTCACTCTGTCACCAGTCATCCCCTCACTCTGTCACTAGTCACCCTTTCCTTCCCTCACTCTGCCACTAGTCACCCCTGTAACGGATCACCTGGCACCCCGACTGGGTACCTCCATTGAAGGATGCTCCTAGCGCTTCCTGAGGACTCCAAGCACTGCAGCAGACACCACAACCACCGAACCGGTCTCAAGCATACGAATGCTATAAGCAGCTGAACAGGAAAAGCATACAATCAGCTTACACTCCTGGCAATCAGCATACAATCCAATTCCCCCAATAACGAGACGACACTTCGTTTTGAGGTCAAGCAGAACTGACTGTACTGGCACATACAGCCTCTTTCACTCACAATCCACAAACACAGTACTGCCCACAGGGTTTTGAAACACAACCAATCAATTCGTACAATACACACAGACACTCCCACACAAAATCCTCCCCTCTGCCTGTGATATGATTACTGAACACAATGGTTAATCTAATTATCACAGGCAGAGAAATACAGTATCATAAAACACATCACAGGGACCCCAAAACACGCAATAACCCCATAAAAACATCCTCGGAACTGGGGGATCTGGGTGAACCACATATCCAAAATTCACCCAGATCCGTTCAGTAGTTTGGAAGATGCAGATTCCGCAGAACATATACAGGCTATATGAAAAATAATTACTGTATAATGTATCCCCTGTTGTATAGTTTAAAACTACTGAACGATGTCTTCGTGCACCAAATACTGGCGAGATGGCACCGTGTAGAATGTGCTTCATCCATTGTTCTCACCATGTGCCTCTGATACCTGAAATGGTGGCCACCCAGTAACTCCACAGTATGTCCCCAGATGGTTCTTAAAGGGCCAGCAGCAGCATAATAAAATACAATATGCTTAAATTCTGTATTTAAAGGGCCAAATCTCCCAGGGGCCATAGTCAGCAGGCAGGAGGCGGGCAAACAGGCTTCTCCAATGCCCAGTGGTGAGGTTGGTTTCGCCACAACCCCTTCCCTCACTCTGTCACTAGTCACCCCCTCACTCTAGTGACAGAGAGAGGGAGGGGGTGACTAGTGACAGTGAGGAAGGGGGTGACTAGTGACAGTGAGGAAGGGGGTGACTAGTGACAGAGTGAGGGAGGTGGTGATTAGTGACAGAGGGAGGGATGGGGTGACTAGTGACAGTCACCACCTCCTTCACTCTGTCACTAGTCACCCCCTCCCTCACTCTGTCACTGTGTCAACCCCTTCCTCGCTCTGTCACTAGTCACCCCTTCCTTCCCTCACTCTGCCACTAGTCACCCCCTCACTCTAGTGACACAGAGAGGGAGGGTGTGACTAGTGACAGAGGGAGGAGTGACTAGGGACAGAGTGAGGGAGGTTGTGACTAGTGACAGTCACCACCTCCCTCACTCTGTCACTAGTCAACCCTTCCCTCACTCTGTCACTAGTCACCTCGTCACTCTAGTGACAGAGTGAGGGAGGGTGTGACTAGTGACAGTGAGAGGGAGGGTGTGACCAATGACAGTGACAGGGAGGGTGTGACTAGTGACAGTGAGGGAGGGTGTGACTAGTGACAGTGAGGGAGGGTGTGACGAGTGACAGAGTGAGGGAGGGAAGGGGTGACTAGTGACAGAGTGAGGGATGTGGTGATTAGTGACAGAGGGAGGGATGGGGTGACTAGTGACAGTCACCACCTCCTTCACTCTGTCACTAGTCACCCCCTTCCTCACTCTGTCACTAGTTACCCCCTCTCTCACTCTGTCACCAGTCATTCCCTCTCTCACCAGTCATCCCCTCACTCTGTCACCAGTCAACCCTTCCTTCCTTCACAGTGACAGAGAGAGGGATGGGGTGACTAGTGACAGAGTGAGGAAGGGGGTGACTCCCTCTGTCACCAGTCATCCCCTCCCTCTGTCACCAGTCATCCCCTCCCTCCCTCCCTCTGCCACTAGTCATCTCTTCCCTCCCTCACTTTGCCACTATTCATCTCTTCCCTCCCTCACTCTGCCACTAGTCATCTCTTCCCTCCCTCCCTCACTCTGCCACTAGTCACCCACTCCCTCACTCTGTCACCAGTCACCCCCACTCACTGTGTCTCCCCCTCACTCTGTCACCACTCAACCCCTCCCTCACTCTGCCACCAGGTCCCCCCTCATTCTGCCACCTGTCACAACCTCCCACACTCTTCCACCTGTCACCTTCTCCCTCACACAATCTGTCACCTGTCACATATGCATTCACACAGACACTATATACAAAAAAGCACATGTAGTCATCCAGACATGCACAAGTGCATTCACACAGACTCAAATACAAACATGCATTGATGCACAAGTCTTCACAATATACACATCCAAAGGAATGCTGTATTATGAGTTATATTTAACATTTATTTAATGCACATATATTTGGCCTTCAAAGGGCCTGGGATCTAAGTTTGCCCGGGGGCCCCAAAGGCTCTCATTCCGCCCCTGGTTATGTCTCCTCTTGTTTTGCCTATTATATCTTGTCTTGTTTTATTTTGTAATCCCAGTTCATGTACAGTCCTGCCCTGCCCTGCCCTGTTCTTGTTTTCCTCATGTCTTGTGTACATGTTCTGGGTTCTACTTTCTGTCCTGCTCTGGTTCTGGGTTTTATTAGTTCTGTCTTGTTTTCATGTTTGGTGACTATCCTAGCCTTGCTTTGTTTCTGTACTGGATAGATGTCTGCTGCAGAGCCCCCCTATCCAGTTCCTGGGAGGTCTGCATATCAAGCTCCTAGTTCCTGGGATCCGCTGTAGCTGCATCAGGGTTCTGGTATGTGGCCGCGCAAACGCTGGTGCTCAATGCCAGGGGATGTGTGGTTACCCTGCACCAGGCCCTGATAGTCCATTACCACGCTGAAGACTCCCACTTATTATCAGGCATACTGGGTCCCGGTCATCGCATCGCCGCCCGGACAGTGTCTGGGCACCGGACTGCCACCCGTGACAAAGATATCTTAAGCAGCCACCTGGTCTTCATATAACACCTTCATAAAACACTAGAGGCAAGACATTTTCTCGGCCACCATATGTCAGGAAAAACAGCAATTTTGTTTACCGTAAATTACTTTTATCTTAATATGTTGGCATTACAACTTTCCCTCCCTATTTTTGTTAATACATGTTTTTGCAATATTGGTGTCTCTGTGTGTATTCTTGCTATGAACTGAGAGCTTTCTGGCAGGTCAGTGTATTTATGCCCTAAGTAGAAGTTACCTTTTTAATTTAAATTTCTTTAAGATGCTTGTCCCTGGAGAGAGTACATCCCTCCTCTACTGCCACCATATTAAGGAAAAACTAATTTACGGCAAGTAAAATTACCAGATTTTACTAATAACATGACGTAAAGTCATGATTTTATAAAGGACACGGAGGCGAGTATTAGGCTTCTCTCTTTCTTTTATTTCCTCAGCAGCAAAGAAAAAGCTAAGGTGTTTATTTGTAGAGAAAAAAGAAACATGCATAACTACCCTCACAGGGTTAACATTACATTGCCAACTTTCCACCAATAGGAACAGTCCTTCTCTCATATCCTCTCCTGTATCCTCCTCCTCTTCAGGATGTTACCACCTATCGACCCACAATGTCGCGGCCTAAAGGCAAGAGGGCTTCAGAGGGCCCAGACAAAGCTAATATTTTCAACTTGAGAGCTGGTCACTTGAAAACTCTGACCCACCACAAGCTCAGCCAAGATGGTGGCGAGGACAATGCGGACCAAGGCCCTAACTGTCTGGACATGGACCAAGGCCTAACAGAGGGGGTCATGCAGAAGATGCTAGATGAAATGTCAGCCAAACTCCTGGCACACCTAGACACCACAGTGGGTGACCTCCGCAAGGAAAATCAGGACATTGGCACAAGAACATCCAGCGTGGAAGATAACATGGCTGACATGGTCACAGCTCACAACGACTTAGCAGGCAAAGTGGAGGGAATCCTAGAGAGAATGGAGACTCAGGATACTTAGCTAGCAGACCTTGAAGACCCCTTATGGAGGAATAACCTCCGCATATCTGGAGTACCTAAGTCTGTCACCCAGGATGGCCTACAAGCCTACATTACAGGCCTCTTCAAAACTCTGGCCCTGGACTTACCTCATGACATCCTCCTCCTGGACCATACACAGGACCACAAAGATCTTTCAAGGATGTTACAGAGCAGCTGCGGTCCAATCAAGTTAACTACAAATTGGGGTACCAAGTCAAACTGATAATTAACAGAGGCGACAAGGTGACGGTCAGCCAGACTCCGGAAGAAGGTGCCCAGCTACTACAGACCTGGGGCATTAAAATGCAAGGGCCTTCCGAACAACCATCCAGTTCAAGAAAACTCCAACCGGAATGGAGGAAGACTCGGAGACATCAGTAACAGTCATTAAGGACTTTACCACACTACACTATGCCTATGCCCAGCAAGTATCACACCACATACCAGCCTAAATTTTTTAGAGCTCTACACTATGCTATAATTGAGCTACTGCACACTGCGATGTTGACACTTACATGACCGACCAGTAATGCCCTTATGGTTTTCACTGTGCACATGTACGGCTAAGTCTGACACACACACACCCCAATCCTGCCACTTACCATGCCTCTGAGGGCTGAGCAACCCTGGCAAGGATGACAGATTGGCATTCACCCTGTCCCTGCACCCTGTGTGCCAGGGCAGATTATGTTATATTGTTTTTTGGTTTTTTTTTGCAACTTAGGTTACACTGTTTATTTTCTATCTGTATCAAATCTATTGATAACTAAACTTTATATAACTATACTAAGGAGGCGACCTCTACCCACCTCGCTTCCTAATGATGAGCGGGTAAATTTCTCGTTATATGTCAGAGGACCTCCCCCTGATGGCCTGTGTTACATTCAGCACTGCTATCTGGCATATATGCTGGGTTGCTGGGGTACAACAGGTGGAGACAGTACACAATGAGAGGAGCAGGCCAGGGAAAATAACGGCATAGTGTTATGTATTTGAAAACTATTGTTGATTGTTTGTTGACATGTAATGGTGCACTTGATGGTTATTTGGCCACCCATTGGTTCCTACAAGACAGAGACACACATAGAGCGCCGTGGCCGATTATCTCGCCCCTACGCATCTAGCTACCACGTGCGCTAACAGATATGAGCTCTCATGATTCCACTACTTAAGCTAAGACAAAACAAGGCCATCTTCACTAACAGACCTCACTACCATAGGCCATCTGAAGGGAAGATGCTCACCCAGGAAGAAGCCATAAGCTTCTGCTGCCATGACACTGTACTTCGGTTTCTAGCCATCTGCATGGCACTACTTTCCCTCTTTTTGTTCAAGTTCACTCTGTTACCCCACTTCCAGTACCTACTAAGACACTTGGCAGCTACTCTAAGGTTGCTCCCCTTCTCTACCCTGATGTTCAGTACCGTGTGGGCAGATCGCTAGACACAAACCACTGGACCCCATTGAATGTGTTGATCTGGACCATAAATTTCGCTGAGGAGAACAGCCAACAAAGGCGACATACCAGACAGACACGGGCAAATACGCTCTGCTTGTTCAAGCTGGGAAGAGCGTACCCCGTAAACATAGATTGCCGACAACCTTTTTCCAATCATAACTCTGCTCAGTATGACCCTCCATGAAATTTTGCTCACTTAATGTTAGAGGACTGATTATTTCAGTCAAGTCACATATTGGGCAGAGAATTGAAATCCCTAGGGCGGATGTAGTATGTAGCAGGAAACGCACTACAGGACCAACGATCACATACACAGCTGGCTGGCTGAATACCCCTTCTGATATCATGCCACCTCCCCCACTAAGTCTAAAGGAACCTCTATCCTAATTAGCAAAAAAAGCTTTTTCCTTGCAACACCAGGAAATTGACCTGAATGGCAGATATGTGATCATCACTGGACTGCTGTCACGGGTGGCGGTCCGAAGACCGGGACCCCTGTATGCCTGATTATGGTAGGAGTCACAGCATGGAAATGAACTATCAGGGTCTGGTGCAGAGTAACCACATGCCCCCTGGTGTTGAGCACCAGGGTTTGTGTGGCCACATATCAGGGTCCTGATGCTGCTTTTGCGGATGCCAGGAACTAGATATTATGCAGATATGTATCCAGTACTAGAAAATAATGCAAGACTAGAATAGGCACCAAACAAGAATATACAAGACTAGAAGAACCCAGAACCGGAGCAGGACAGAAAGCAGAACCCAGAACATGTACACAATACATAAGGGAAAACTAGAACAGGACATGGACAGGGCAGGATAGGACTGTACCTGAACCGGGAATACAAGATAAAATAAAACAAGACACACACACCAATCCTATGATTGGAGACTTTCACATACCAATGAACGTACATACATGCACTTCTCCGCAGTCCACAACTCCTACTCCAGGATAGATGGGTTCCTATAACTAGGCCTGGCCTTGGGCCAGGTCGAAAGCTGTGAGGTAGGACAGATCACATGGTCTGACCACGCACCTGGATGACTTCAAACATAGAAGCCCATGGAGACTAAATACCTCCCTACTAACTGACGCCACCTTTACTCTAGACCTGCAAACGGCAATGCAACAATACTTTAGGGAAAACGAATCCCACAAGATATTGCACGGCACATAAGGCCTGTGATTAGATATGGAGGGTACCATACCGGCGTAAAATGGCACTCGAACAACTATGACAGTAGTAACAGGAATTACATTTTCTCAATGCATAAAACCAACAAACACCCTAAGCTACATTAAAATACATCATTTGTAAATCCAGGCT